ACCATCTTTTGTTAAGGTACAAAGTTGTTTTTTAGATTTGTAGGTTTACGGACCGATCCTCAAAGCTTTCGGCCAACAAGGATCATCCTTGGTTGAGATACAAAGGTGTTGTATATATTTGTAGGTTTAAGAACCGGTCCTCAAACATTTCGGCCCACAAGGATCATCCTTGGTTGAGATACAAAGGTGTTGTATATATTTGTAGGTTTAAGAACCGGTCCTCAAACATTTCGGCCCAACAAGGATCATCCTTGGTTAAGATACAAAGGTGTTTTATAGATTTGTAGGTTTACGGACCGATCCTCAAAGCTTTCGGCCCACAAGGATCATCCTTGGTTAAGATATAAAGGTGTTGTATATATTTGTAGGTTTAAGAACCGGTCCTCAAAGCTTTCGGCCCACAAGGATCATCCTTGGTTGAGATACAAAGGTGTTGTATATATTTGTAGGTTTAAGAACCGGTCCTCAAAGCTTTCGGCCCAACAAGGATCATCCTTGCTTAAGATACAAAGGTGTTTTATAGATTTGTAGGTTTACGGACCGATCCTCAAACATTTCGGCCCACAAGGACCATCTTTGGTTAAGATTTGTAGTTTTAAAACTGGTTCATTCCCCTATGGGACAGCGGTAAGTCTAAGAAGTTACAAAGCTGAAATCCAAGGTTCGATTCCCTGTAAGACTCGCCTCTCGGATTAAAGGATTACAAGTGGACTTTTTCTTTGTGTTCAACTGATTAAAAACGTGTCTGTCTTCTGTTTTTATTATACATCACACATAAATAAAGTAAGATCAGTATGGATAATAAAAAAAATCCAACAACAATAAGCGAAAGATGATTTTCGACAATTACTGGAACCTGACAACACTAACTAAAAAGTTTATAGTCCACCCCCAGTGGCACAGCGGTATGTGTGCCGACTTATACCCCTAAAAACCTGGTTTCGATACCTGTGATGGTCAGAGCACGGATAGCCTTTTGTGTAGCTTTGTGCTTAATAACAGACAACAAACAAAAGTATATATGAACAGATTTACTTTACCTTAAAACTACAGTACCAAAATATCACATTACATACAGTTGTGTAAAATGAAGTTGACTCAATGAATAAAATGTGATATAATATTAATATTATCGTGTTTATACTTTCATAAGTAGTATACAATATATATATTTATTGATATACACATATTCAAGTAACGTGTTCTGCATGTAGTTGTGTCGTTTTTATTTATAAACCGGATGAAGAACAGTCGTGAATTTTCACAATCCTCTGGCTTATACAAAGGTTATACAATTGGCTTATATACAATTGGCTTGTACAAAGGTTATACAATTGGCTTATACAAAGGTTATACAATTGGCTTGTACAAAGGTTATACAATTGGCTTATACAAAGGTTATACAATTGGCTTGTACAAAGGTTATACAATTGGTTTATACAAAGGTTATACAATTGGCTTATACAAAGGTTATACAATTGGCTTATACAAAGGTTATATAATTGGCTTATACAAAGGTTATACAAATGGCTTGTATAAAGGTTATACAATTGGCTTATACAAAGGTTATACAATTGGTTGATACAAAGGTTATACAATTGGCTTATACAAAGGTTATACAATTGGCTTATACAAAGGTTATACAATTGGCTTATACAAAGGTTATACAATTGGCTTATACAAAGGTTATACAATTGGCTTATACAAAGATTATAAATATGGCTTATACAAAGGTTATACAATTGGCTTATACAAAGGTTATATAATTGGCTTGTACAAAGGTTATACAATGCTCTTCAGTAATCCACACTGCTTATATTTGCTCCTCCTTGTTGTTTATGTTCTTGCCTCCAACTATCATGACTACAACCTGATATCAAGATATCATTTAAACGACACCAATGTTGATTTTTCAATGGCTAGAGATAAAAATATTAAAATCAAAAAGGAGTAGATTGTCAGTCTAAGATTTTTATGATCAACCTGGTTATTTCTCTAAAACTGAAGCTTCTTCACGATGAAATATAAGACTTATGAGCAAACTCATAAGCTGGGCCTTACTGGAATGAAATTTGCAATGCAAAAGAAAGCTTTTAACATTAACAAGTATAAGCTAATATAAGCACAAAAAAAGGTTAAGGAAATTAGTGAATAATTTGATTCATTGGTTAGTGAAACAGGATATTCGTGGTAATGAGGAAATATTATTCTATTTCTTATGTCGTAGCCTATAATGAATCTCCGTGTAAAGATGAGATTAGAAGTGGTCAATCTGGTGTTTGTATGGAAACCGGTTGTTGTGACGGAGGGAACTACGTTAGTGGATACTGTCCAACACAACCAAATAATGTCAAGTGTTGTTTCAGTAGGAACACGTGCTCTTCTAGTGACCAAAAAGGTATGGTATAAAAATAAAGTGGTTTAGTCATTAAACGATGATTTTATATAGTTTCACAAACTGACCAAAGTATCTTATAATAAAACAAGATATTTCCCTAACACACCAATCCGCTACGGGACACTTGCAATCTGTTTAAAGATAACTCTGAATATGAAACATAGCACAGATTACACAATCCGCTACGTGACACTTGCAATCTGTTTAAAGATAACTCTGAATATGAAACATAGCACAGATTACACAATCCGCTACGTGACACTTGCAATCTGTGGGTCGTGGGTTGGAATCCCATCAACGTATTGTTCGACCTTTCAGCCATGGGGGCGTTATAACGTGAAGGTCAATCGTACTAGCCGGTTAGGGTAGTCCAAGAGTTAGCGGAGGGTGTTTTTGACAACCTTCCTAGCACAGATCGACCTCGTTACATAGAATTCAACAAAACAAACATACACGTGTCAACAGATGATACCAGTAGACTCATGTAACTAATGTACAGGTGTCAGCTTGTGCCACACCCCTAGCCCAAATTGTCTGTCCCTTAGTATATCAGTCTGGCCCTTGACATTTGGTTTTTAGTACATCCCATTTTGTATTAAAATAGGGGTAATGTGAAGTGTAAAGAGGGGACAAAATATCAACAAGCTGTTAAAATTATGTGTTAGGAGATACTTAAGTATATCATTTAGTTTATAAGATTGAATGATGACCTGGATACTGTTGTTTTGATGTAATTACTTACAGTGCAAGACCAGAACGTTTCTTTAATCACAGCCTCAGGTAGATTCTCTATACATATGTAAACAAAGGGACTGCACCAAACTGCTATCTGTAATGTGAGCATGGTGCTCAGGCAACTTTAAAGACTGTTGAATACAACTTAGGTCCCAAAATACACAACATGACACCAAGGATATAATGAAGGTCCCAAACCAAGGATATAATAAATGTCACAAAATACACAACATGACACCAAGGATATAATAAATGTCCCAAAATACACAACATGACACCAAGGATATAATGAAGGTCCCAAACCAAGGATATAATAAATGTCACAAAATACACAACATGACACCAAGGATATAATAAGGGTCCCAAACCAAGAATATAATAAATGTCCCAAACCAAGGATATAATGAAGGTCCCAAACCAAGGATATAATAAATATCACAAAATACACAACATGACACCAAGGATATAATAAAGGTCCCAAACCAAGAATATAATAAAGGTCCCAAACCAAGGATATAATAAATATCACAAAATACACAACATGACACCAAGGATATAATAAAGGTCCCAAACCAAGGATATAATAAAGGTCCCAAACCAAGGATATAATAAATATCACAAAATACACAACATGACA